CACACACACACACACACACACACACACACATACACACACCTGCTCCAAATGATGCTTTTAAACGAACAACACCCACTGCCTGATGAACCTGCACGGCTGCCACAGAAACCGTCCATCTTGTTGGAGGTTTGCAGGCCCGTGACGTTTCCAGATCTGAGCTGTCACCAGGTGACGGCTCCGTGTCTCGTCTGTCACCTGGACTTGACAGTTTCTAAATGTGGATAATCCTTTTTGCAGAAACGTCAGACCCTGTGAACAGGTTAGGTGACATTTGGTTCTCCTATGATTTAAAGGATTTCCATTGAAGGATCAGAAACATGTTCTTTTTTAATGTGCCTTTGCTCAAAAACGTGCTTAAATTGTCTGAAACCAGCTTGTGGTGGAGATAATAGAATCTGGAATTTGTAAATGTCCGATTTTTTTGTGAAATAGAAGGTTTTCTAAGTTTGGATTATATTTCTCTAGTCATTCTCACCTTATTCATTCTTACCCTTGTATTTGTATTCTCTGGCGTTCTTTGGTTAGTGAAAAATGTGCCTATAGACATATTTCTGCTCGTAGGAAGCCCAATTATTTTCTCAGGACAGCTGGCAGATTTTGACTTTGTCTTTAAAGCAGATTGTGCTGTCTTGTATTGTTGCAGAACTTGTATCACGCCCCCACAGCGTGAAACAGATAGTCAGATGGTTGTGAGTTGTGCTTTAAAATAAATAGTTTTAAATTCTCAGAGTCAAGAGAATAGAGAAAATCAGTGATGGTGAATTATTATAAGGTGATTTTTTTAAAAATTTACTTCTGTTCTTTTAGCTTTCTTGGATGTATAAATCACAAGTCTTGTACTTATTTAAAGAAGTGGGAAGCTATTTTGTAGAAAGTACTTTACTCATCAGTTTGTTTAATTGTGCATGCAACAAACATAGCTGCCCCAAATTATTGAGCAATTAGTGCATCAGTAAGTCCTAATTACACTCTAATCAGCAATCATTAATGTTAGAAGTGCAAAGTTCATAGCAACTCAGAGATCCTGCAGTGCTTCAAAATGCCCTGCTGGATGACCAATAACAAAAATAGAGTGATTCATCATTTCCTTTAAATGGTTGATTATTAATTATGTTTATTTAATGCACCCAGAGGTTTGTTTCTGAGGTTTTGCAGATTGCCAAACACTTTCCCCCCTATTTTTGTCTCACATATCCCGCCCCTTGTCATGTTCATTTCTCCCAATGTGCTGAAAAAAAAAGAGAGGGAGAGAGAAAATACCGCACTGATTCTTGCAGATTTATTAGGAATACAGCGCTCATCAAAATCTGAGATTTCACTCTGATTTCCTCCCCTTCGAAGCCCCGTGTGAAGTCAGCAGAGCCCCAGAGAAGCCAACGTCTTATTTTCCGTGCCACCATGACATCAGAGCAGCAGCTCTCTGGGAAGCAGGTCTGACCTTTTCCGGGGCTTGCTGTAAATGATGCATTATCGTCTCCTGTCACCGGAGAGCCCAAAGATGCTGCCAAACAACAAACAAGTTTAGTGCTACTTGCTCTCCATTGGTTTGTGGGGGAGGGACGATGGCTGGTGAGATGGGTTACGCTGTCAAAAAAAATGCAAAGAAAAATCTAGTGGCTGTTGATAAGATTTGCTACATGACCAGAGACCCATAGAAAAGTACATTGTGAATTTTATAACTGTGCATTAATTAAATAGGAATAGCAATAGCCTACTGTTTAAAGTGTATCTCTTTAACCAATTTTAAAACAGCCCCTGTAATTCAGCCTGTGTCTAGACTGATGACTCATAAAATAGAGCGATAATTGTGTTGTGATGAGGTTTAAAATGACCAGGCTCTTGTTAAACGTCAGGACTGAAAGAGTAAAACGGAAGGAATTGACAAGCAGACAGCAGAGGTGGAAACCTTGAGCTCGTTCACCTAAAGAGAGTGAAGGTAAGGGTCGTATTCTGCAGGTATTAATGACCTGCAGGTCACGCTGACAGGCGTGTCAAGCATGCCCGCTGCCTAACAAAGGAAACTGCACTGAAAAAAAAGGTTTTCGGGTGTAGTAACATTTATTTAATTATTCTTTTAAATTTTACACATTTCTAAACTACTAGAATTTACTACATAAACAATAAGCATTATATTATATATCAATATTACTGTACAAAAAAGTAAATGCTAATATTATTTTGCCAGTAATATTGAAGTGTTTTTTCTGAACAGCACATAAACATGAATATATTAAGTAACTTCTAATCTTCTGGGCTAAAACTGAGGGTGCATGTGCACACAAAGGCTGCTTCTCATTCCCTTGCTTCACTTTTCAAGGAGAGGACAACATGGTCGAAATAAAACATAAGTTGTCTGGTTTCTTTTGCTTGAATACATTTGTTGGTGTGCAATAGTTTGATGGCTAAATGTATTGATTTGAGTTGTCAGTGAACAGGGAATGCATATTGTAGCATTCTGCTGTATTTGGCTGTTTGTTATGTGACTGCAGTGGAGGATTGTGGGTAGGATTCATGTTTGTTATTGTTAAATCATTTTAGGGAATTGGTTAACATTGTTCTTTCTTTTCGAGAGAGAGCTGAGTCAGAAAGCGAAGCTCTCAATTTACCAGTCGATCTACGTTCCTACCCTCATCTATGGTCATGAGCTTTGGGTCATGACCGAAAGAACGAGATTACGGATACAAGCGGCCGAAATGGGTTTCCTCCGCAGGGTG